TGAAGCAACTGCCATGTGATTGGTTGATTAGATAATTGCATTAATGAGAAATTGAACAGGTGTTCCTAATAATCCTTTAGGTGAGGTGAGTTATATATATATATATATATATATATATAAACAAACATTTTAAGCTCATAAGGGTACGATTGGGAGGCATCGTAGGGCTTAAAACAAAACGAAAATTTTGCTCACAACAATGGGACCGCAAGCAAGGAACGTGATAGGCAGAGAACTGTGATGCGTCAGGGAAAAATCTGCGATATTGCGGGGGCACGATAGCTGAATCGCGATATAGCGGGGGCACGATAGCTGAACCGCGATATAGCGGGGGCAAGATAGCTGAACCGCGATATAGCGGGGGCACGATAGCTGAACCGCGATATAGCGGGGGCACGATAGCTGAACCGCGATATAGCGGGGAATCACTGTATATTTAGCTTATATTGTTCTTTCATTAAAAAAAGAGAAAGAGAAAATAAGAGAAAAAGAGCAAATAAATTGCAAACATTGAGAATTCAGAGATGGTTGGATGGATCGTCAAACAGCGCGGCTATTGATAAGCTTTCCAAAGATATACGGATGCAGAAATCACACTAAACAGGTACAAAATGTGGTTTAAATATTCAGTTGGAAATGCAGCCTGGATTCAAGTACAGTAATTGATCTGTTTCCAGCATTTCTTTTTTTTTTTCAAATCAATTCACTTTGCAAAAGTTTACTAGCAAGCGTGTCTGCATTGGATGAGAGTAAATTTATGGGTAAAGCTCCAAACCCATTTAACCCATTTGCTAGAGAGTGTATGGACATCTTATGCATTGCATTTATTATGTTCTATTAAAATGTATTTATCGTATGTGCATTACACTTGACTGATGATATGGTTGTTAAATCTGCTCTATGTAACTAGACAAGTGGCAGAAAAGTAATTTCTCCCAATCAAGTCAGCTCACCAACCACCATCCATGTTATTTTATTAGAGCCCATTCATTCATTCATTTTCTACACTGCTTTATCCTGTACTGGGATACAGGATTCCAGAGCCTATCCCAGAAATAACAGGAGCATGGCAGGGAATAACCCAAGATGGGGAGCCAACCCATGGAAGGGGACACACACACACCATTCACACATACATTCACACCGACGGTCAGTATTGAGAATCTGCAAGCTCCACACACATACAGCTTGGATGGGCAGCCCCTGCACCAATTTAAATCACTTTAGAAATATCACGAAAAATAATTAACTTAAAATGCAGATATATATAATATATAATACAGTGTTCTGTGGAGTAAATAACATTTAGACTAACAAAGGACTATTTCCAAATTGCCATAAAACATTCCATATATGCTGATTAAAAATGTTTTAGAAGTAGCTTATTCTATATTATTCTATAAACATAAAGCTATGTTAAATAAGCTATGAAATAAATGAACATTTAATATCTTAATATTTCTAAGGAAATATTAAGATTAGTAAAATCAGAACGTATATTTTAAAAAAGCTTGAAATATGATTATTAAAAATGCCAATATTTGCCATTACCTGGTCTCTGTGAGTCTGCAGGGTTTCTGTTTCTCTGTCCCTGTTAAAATGACTCTTTGTGCTTCTGAATCTACTTTATCAAATAGAACGTTCTGGACTGGTGTACACAGAACGATGTATGTAAAACAGAATACACATATTCTTGCATACTGGTATTGTCCTTACTGTTATTAGGGGAAATAAAAATATTTGCATGCTTGACTAACTGAAAGAGAAGGACTGTCTGAAAGGTCTATGGGATAAGGAAGAATTACTTTATGGAAGAAAGGCAAATTTTCCATTGTTGTTCATCTCATTTTATACTGACCAGTCAAGAAATAAAAATAAAAAAAACACAAAAAGATCTTGTTTCCTCTGTATTCCAGTGCTAAATGTTCATTTGTTTATAGTAAAAGTTAATGGACAAACACATTCCCTAACATCTAGTTTATATCATTTATAAAATGTAAATCACAAGGCAGGGATTAGCCCAGCATGGGAGGCCGACCCATTGCAAGGCTCATACACACACAGGCAATTTTGCAGCTCCAATTCATCTTCTCATGTTTTTGGACTGTGGAGAGACATTGGAGATCCTGGAGGAAACCCCAATATGATACAGAGAAAACATACAACCACCCCCCACATAGAGCTGGGGTGGAGACTTAAACCCTTGTCCCAGAGGTAGAAGTCAAGCCATTAACCACTGTACCACCATGCTGTGATTCATTTCACATTTAAGAAATTTTAGCATTGCAATCGTGGCAATATATCAGTTAGGCAAAGGAAATGTAATTGGTCCTAAGCAGAGCTGGACTGGGATTAAAAATACAGCCTAGAGTTCTGCCCATAGAGACACAGCACACATACAGTCATGGCCGAAATTATTGGCACCCCTGGAATTTTTCCAGAAAATGCACCATTTCTCCCAGAAAATTGTTAGAAGTACAAATGTTTTGGTATACACATGTGTGTTTCCTTTATATGCATTGGAACAACACAAAAAACAGAGGAAAAAAAGCCAAATTTGACATACTTTCACATAAAACTCAAAAACTGGGCTGGACAAAATTATTGGCACCCTCAACTTAATATTTTGTTGCATACTCTTTGGAAAAAATAACTGAAATCAATCGCTTCCTAACCATCAACAAGCTTGTTACGCCTCTCAACTGGAATTTTCGACCACTCTTCTTTTGCAAACTGCTCAAGGTCTCTCAGATTTGAAAGGTGCCTTCTCCCAACAGCAATTTTGAGATCTCTCCATAAGTGTTCAATCGGATTTAGATCCAGACTCATTGCTGACCACTTCAGAACTCTCCAGTGCTTTGTCTTCAACCATTTCTGGTTGCTTTTAGAGGTATGTTTGGGGTCATTGTCCTGCTGGAACACTCATGACCTCTGACGCAGACCCAGCTTTCTGACACTGGACCCTACATTGCGCCCTAAAATCTTTTGGTAGTCTTCAGATTTCATGATTCCTTGCACACAGTCAAGGCATCCAGTGCCAGAGGCGGCAAAACATCCCCAAAACATCGTAGAACCTCCACCATGTTTGACTGTAGGTACTGTGTTCTTTTCTTTGTAGGCCTCATTCTGTTTTCTGTAAACAGTAGAATTATGAGCTTTACCAAAAAGCTCTACCTTACACTGAAAAAAGAGAATTGTTGGACCAGCTTACAAAAATTGCTTCAATTGGTAACACACAAATGAATTAAGTTTTTTCAAATCAAGTTAACAAGTTTAATGAACCCATTTGCTTTAAGTTAGGTGTACTGAATAATCTGATTACATTCAAATCAATAGTTTTTATTAATGCAACTGAAATTTCAGACAAGTCAACTTTAAGTTTGCAGTTTTAATTAAATAATTAATAAGAAATCTTTATTTTTAAATTGATGTTATTATATAAAATACATGTCTTCATGTATTTTTACTGCCTAAATACAGTATATGTATTCAGCTACTGTAAACATGCAAGATGCTATCACAGCGAATGCGAGGCTGAGACTAAATCGTTACCCTTTGTTTCTGTTGAGAGACGTGCTGCGTGACTCATCCCCGCGCTTACAAGTTATCTGAGGTTGGCGTTCACGGTTCGACTTCTGAGATTCAGATCGAGTTCTGTGTCATTTTTTTTCCAAACTGGTTGGTTCGACTTTTAAGAAATTCGAGTTCTAATGAGTTTGAAAACTGAGGTACCACTGTACATGTATTTCAAGGATTCAAATTTTTTATTGTCATGTACAGAGTATAACACAATTCTTACTTGAATGCCTTCTTCACAGACAACATTACAGTAACTAACAATAAATAAGCCACTAACTTACGTGTACTGTTAGAGCATTTAGGTCATTTATTTAAACTTTATTTTACCAGGTAAATTAACTGAAAACCAGTTCTTACTGCTTTACGTGATATTCGGGAGAAATAACAGATACTGTAACGCATCAGAACTTCCTGGGATACAAACGTCATGCGTGTAACTAAACTCTTCAGCCAATAAGGGCAAAGTTGTGTCGTCATGGAGTTGGCTCCAGTTTGTGCAGCCGGCTGAGAGGTGCTGCACGATCTGTTAAGTCATCTTGCTCTGGCGAGGTTTTTGTACCATGTGACATGGTGATGCGTGGTGACGTTTTGCAGTGCCGGCTGAAATCGGACAAAAAAAATCTAACCATGATGCATTGAGTCAGGACCAGAATGCATTGCTTTAAGCCAGTGCTGTAAGTGGCTGTATGAAGTCGAATGCATCCATTTTATGAGTTGTGTGCTGTTTCTTTGTGTTGGAAGTGCTGTCACCTTGATCCTTTGGGTTTTTTGTTAGTGTGATCTGTTTTGTTTTAATAAACCCTTGTTGTCTTGGAGCCGCCTTCAAGACACCTTCTTTTCCTGTCTGCACAAACAGAACGCACAAGTAAAGCAGATTTGTCGTTGCAATGTAATACGTAATCGGCCCAGCTCAGGGACCCCAGGTGATTGCCTGCCTTGCCTGTCCCTACGCCTGTGACATTACTGTCATAACAAGGGACACTTTCATTTTAACTTCCACAACTATACCAAAACTATAAGTAATCCATTTGCAGAGTCTCTGACCAATGGAGTTTCCACAAAATGTTGGTTTATTGAACAGCAAAATAATATAATGAAATACAATGTAGGTAGGGATTCACTGATACTGGTATTGGGTATAGGGCAAATACCAGTGCTGGTACTCCTACTTGACCAAAATATCCCAATACCTACAGTACAACTAGTATCACATGGTAGATATGATGTAGTTACGTTAAGTCAGCACATGGAGGTACTGTTGAGGCAATTACTGCCAAAAGAAAGTGCTAGTTGTGTGGAGGTGAAATTGTCAGCTGTCTGGAGGTGATTTAAAATCAATGATAATGATAACAGCAAAGCAGACTGTAAGCTCTGCTCTATCACCTTATCAAAAGGAAGAAAGACATCAGTTAACTGCAATACTAGTAACCTGATAAAACATGACACCAGCATAAAAAAGAAATGTTACGTGCCGTATACAAATACAAAAAAATACAAAAAAAGATCCCTTTGTGTCCTGTGTTCCCTTTTCCTGTTCCCATATTGTCTTGTCGTTCCCTTGTCCTTTTCTGTTTATTTTTCTGACGGTCCCCAACCCTAGACTGGGGATCGTAACAGAAATTGGGGGCTCGTCCTTTCTTTTCTTCCTTCCGATGTTTGTCTGGCGGATTTTTTTGTGGGGGGGTCGGTGTTGTGGTTGTGTTAGTGAGAATGGCCCAGTTCGATCTTGTAACTTTCACCCTCCACCCCACGCTCAAGCAGTTCGATAGGTGCCGCAAGGAGGACTTGCTGGCAATAGCGGACTTTTTTTTAATGTGTTTGTCCCCGTTGAGGCTTCCAAATGGGCGATAAAACGGGTCCTGCAGGACAAGCTGATTCAGCAGGGTATCCTACCTGAGTTGGGCGGCTCGCCGGGTGTTGTATCCACTCCCGTGCAGTTGTCGGCTGCAGCGGAGGCCAGCGGCGACGACCTAGGGCTGGGGGTCTGCATGGATCCCGGTGATCCTCGCTCAGCTAGGGAGGAGCTGCTGCTTACCATTAAGCTGAGGGAGCTGGAGTTGGAGATAAAACGGCAGGAGTATCAGGCACAACTTCTCCATGTCCGGGCTGTGGAGATAGAGGCTGAGAAAGACATGGCATTGCGGAGGCTAAGCAGGGCTGAACCAAAGCCTGAGCCCCGTCCGCGGAAGGTACACTCACCAGGTGTCGCCCCTCAGGCAGACCTACCCGCCCGTGACCCAGCTGGTGCCCAAGACACTCCTCGCCCTCGCCTGTGTTCTCCTTTGGGTTCGCCAGCTTCCCAAGGCACTGAAGTTGGGTATTCCGGATTCGATGTCAGCCGTCAGGTCGGACTTGTTCCCATATTTCATGAGAATGAGGTGGATGCCTATTTCTTTATATTCGAGCGGATCGCTACGACCATGAACTGGCCCAAACATCTTTGGTCTTTGTTGTTACAATGTAAGCTAGTGGAGAAAGCGCAGGAGGTTTGTTCGGCTCTGGCGTTAGAGCAGAGCTTAGATTCCGATATTGTGAAGGCCACTGTGTTAAAGGCATATGAGCTAGTACCAAGGCTTATCGACAAAACTTCAGAAAATTAAGTTAATCCACCAGTCAAACCCATGTTGAGTTTGCTTGTGAGAAGGCTCTGTTGTTTGATAAATGGTGTGCTGCAAGTGGTGTCTCTGACTTTGACCAGCTTAAGGAGTTGTTGTTATTGGAGGAATTTAAAAACTGTGTTCCGGATCGTGTCGTGGTGTATTTAAATGAACAGAAAGTTGTTTCTCTGTCTGAAGCTGCCATCCTTGCGGATGAATTTATTTTGACCCACAAGACTGTTTACCCCAACCCCTCTGCCTCGTAGACTTGGTCCTCGTCCTGTGACAACTCCTCCGTCGGCCGCTGCGTCTCCACCACCTGTGGAGAAAAGAGAGTGTTTCTATTGCCATGAGGTGGGTCATATTATATCTGTTTGTCCTGCGCTG